GGACAGTAACATTAGCAAACACATCTGTGGCATGAGGCCTGTGCTAATTTTTTTTTACCATACCTGTGTTCATACCTTTTTCTTTGGTGTGAGTGGCTCCTACTGGACTTCCCATGTTGTCATTCAAAAAGATCTAATTCGAACTTCACCTCCTTAATAATTTAAGGCAGAGAACTACTCCTCTGCCCCCCCTAAAAAGCCTTTGGCTCTTTGAATGTGGTCTCTTATGCCCCTGGGTAGTTTTATTCATTGTACATCAACTAGACCACAAGTTGTACGAGGGTGCATTACAAGTACCTTCAGTTCTTTACCCTTTGGTCTAGCAAAGAGCTCTAGTGCCATAAGCTCTAGATCAATATGTGTTGATTTCACCAGTTTTGAAATGGTTCATTAGAGAAGCCTGGGTCACTCATCATGTCTGAGTTTAATAAGGAGGCATCACAGGAAACTCACAAAAGGACGATGGTAAGGATTAGTCTATCAGACAAACAAACAAACAAAAGGTGAACTGGCAGTTATTAACCTTTTGGATGCCTGCTGTCCCCAGCTGACATGCTGTGGTCCTTTCTTCCACAGTATTTTTTATTCCAGTGAGTTGAAATCTTTTGTTCAGAGGCAGTTCAGTAAATGAGCTACAAAACATGGGAGGTTCATTTACGATAATTAGATATAACTTATTAACTCCATTTTAATGCCAAGGAGGGTTCTAGGATGATCTAATGATGGGCATGGTAATTCATAAAACATATATTTACCCTCACTCACTTCCCTTCTAGAAATCTCCTACGCTTTGCCACAGAATGTTTCATTGAAGCTCCTTGAGCTGCCCATGGAAAAAAAGACATACCTTGTACCTCTTCGGATTTGAAAACTAACCTATAATTAAGCATGATATATGAATAATCTTCAACACCCCACCCTCACTAGAACCACCTGCTCAAAAATCCGGAGTAGGGGCAAAAACAGGCATGGTGCTGCACGCCTTTATTCCTAGCACTCAGGAGGCAGAAACAAGTGGATCTTTGTGAAATCGAGGTCAGCCTGGCCCACATAGAGAGTTCCAGGCCAGCTGTTCCAGGCTACAAGACCCTGTCTCAAAAAAATAACAATGCAGAACAAAGCAATAAAAGAAGCAGAGGTGAATAAAGGTAACTGCAGGTCTGGCTGGACTGAGTTCAATAAAGACCTCAGGCTAAAGCCCATGTTCTAGTTTTTTGAGAACTTTGGTGGATCTCATGCTTTGATGCCACTTGGAATGGTTGCAGGAATGCACTTTTGGTTCTACTACCAAAGTCTCTTCCCCTTGAAGTCTCTAATTTAGAGTAGTGGTGCTATTATTCATTTTGTCCTTTGACAATCTCATGCACATATGCAACACATTCTGACTGATCACACCCCTACCCTATTATCTCTCTCTTTGTCTACCTTTCCTCTCCCTACTAATCTTTTCCCACATTGTTGCCTTTATGTTTTGTTTGTGACTCACTGAATTTACCAAGGGCCATCTGTGTAGCCATGGGATTGGAGCCATGCACTAGAGCCTGACCAGAGTTCCCTCTGAAGTACAACTGAAGACGATGGCTCCCCAACTCCCAGAGTCTATCTGTAGCCAGTAGTTCAGCAGTCAGGGGTAGACCCCATTAGAGTAGTATTTTTAATATTTGGTGCCTGGTAAAGATATGTTGGAGATATGTTGGAATGAATAAATGAATGGGAGGTGTTCAGTCACAAAAGAACAGTGCATTGGATGGATAGAGCAATACGTTTGCCAGAATAAACACAGGTGGAGGGCAAGGGAAATGGCTCAGTGGTTAGGAGCTCTCTGGCTGCTCTTGACAGGACCCAAGTTCAGTTCCAAGCACCCACACAGTGACTAACAATTGTCTGTAACTCCAGCTCCCGGGGATCAGATGCCCTCTTCTGGCCTCTGTGGGCATTGCATGCATGAAGTGCACATATTCACAATGCAGGCAAAACACTCATACACATAAAATAAAAAAAATAAATAACTTTAAACAGAGGTGAAGCCTTGTTGGTATTTATAAAAATATTTAGCTACTTGATAGATTCCTCACTATAAATACCAAAATCAGTTCTTCAGAAAGCAAACAAGTAAGATATAGAGAGATAAAAATCATTAAAACAAGGCAGGAATTTTGACTGCTGCAGTTTTCTGCAGCTCTGCTGCATTTAACTACCCCACTTAAACACCTCACAAAAATCTATGAATTCAAAAATAATCTCTAAGATTGATTTAAAGTGAGGAAAATGGAATTAAGGCAGTGACATGGGTGGCTGTTAGTACAAATGGTGATCTCCTAACAGGTATGGGCTAACAGTCATCGAGAACTCAGGCCCTCTGATTTTTGAAGGCAGCTAGTGGGGCCACCTGCTTCAGTCCTGGATACACTCCTTCATTTCAGAAATCCTTCCAGAATATTCCTGTGATCCAGGCACTGTTGCATATAACTTAGTAAACAAGTAAAACAGACATGGCATGGGAATTTCTTTCCAGAAAATTCAACTGTACAAAAGGAAAATATAGGTTTATTTATTTAAAGTAAGAATTTCATACTTTTCCTATATTTGTTTCTAGAGAAAAGGTTTTAGAGATGTGGTAATCTAAATTCTGCTCATCCTCCATAGAATATAGTTACTACCTGCACTCCAGAGGGCTGTCAAGTTTATCTAGAAAGAACTTTTGACCAGAATTGTGGCCTTTCCTTGAAACAGTGTCTGTTGGACCTCAGGTTCTGAGCACCAGTGCTGGGATGCTCGACTGAAATGCACAAAGCAGTGTAGAGCAAGCACCGCTGGTGCCCAGGGAGGTCAGCAGGACTTGGCGTCACTTAACTAGTTTATGAAACAACATGGGCTCTGGCCTCTGTGAGGCTCTGTCATCCCCTGAAGGAGGCTTAGCAACAGAGGCCCCCATGCCTATAAAAATTTCCTTTGTGACATACAGAAGTCTATTTTATTTATTTCATTTAAGGCTTATAAATATGGTGCGTTATCAAGATCTGAAGAAGGTGGTAGAGTTTATTACAGAAACTTCAGGTACATAAAATTCTATTGTGCTCATACTGTGGTTAGACACAATGTCACAACAAACCAGTTTCAAAACCAAGACCTGTTACCTTGATGAATTTTTTGATCAGATGTATATGAAACTCTTAAAAGCCAGCAGTACTTTACATATACATCCATACACACACACACACACATACATTATCACACATTATATATATATATATATATGAGAATACACAGTCAATGCTGTGTGTGTTTATGTATCTGCATGTGTGTGTGTATATACTCAATAGTGTGTATTGTGTCCTAGTTTGCTTTCAATTGTGATAAAACACTTACCAAAACCAACTTGGAGAGAAAGGATTTATTTCAGCTCACAGTATAGTTCTTCATGGAGGGAAGGCAGAGCAAGCACTTAAGGCAGGAATCTGGAGGCAGGAGCTGAGCTAGAGATCATGGAGGAATGCTACTTACAGTTTCTCTGGCCTATGCTTAGCCTGCTTTCTTATATAACCCAAGACCACCTGCCCAGGGGTCACACCACCCACAGTGGGCTGGGCTCTCCCACATCACTCAAAAATCAAGGAGATTGCCCCATGCAAATCTGGTAGGGGAAATTCTCCCACTGAGGTTTCCTCTTCCCAAGTGTGTCAAGCTAGCCAGCACCTGTGCATATATGTATATTTTCCTAGTGTTCTTTCTGTTACTGTGATAAAACACTGACTGAAAGCAACTTGAGGAATAAAGTGTTTATTTCATCTTACAAGTTATATATTCCATCATCGAGGGCAACCAGGGCTCAAGGCAAAAACCTGGAAGCAGGAAGGGGAGCAGAGACCACAGAGGCTGCTGTTCACCGAGTTGCTCTCTCTGGCTTCCTCAGCCACCTTGCGTATTCATCCCAGGTCCACCTATCTAGGGATGGCAGTGTCCACAGTGGGCTGGGCCTTTCTGCATGAATAACAAATTAAGAAAATACCTCATAGACATGGCCACAGGCCATTGTGATGGAGGAAGCTCCCCAACTGAGGTTCCCTTTTCCCAGATGGGGTTGTGTACATGTTTACATGTCTGCATTATGTCTACACACTCAATAGTGTGTGTCTGTTTGGCTTCAGATCAGCAATTCTGACACAGTCTATGTGATTGGAACATGTTTGTTCTATCCACTGAGTCTTTTTATGCTAACTGGACCCTCTTTTCCTGGCAGATGTTGACTAGAAGGAATGTAACATGAGATTATGTTATTTATGGGCGTTTAGACCAAATAGTGTAACCAATGGGAACCTGCGGAATTCTGAGTCTGTTGAATAGAGTTAGTGGTTATAATGATTTACCAGAAATGTTGGGCTCTGCTACCACCTTCTGTTTCTGCCCCTTTTGCTATGTTGGAACAAGTTGGGTGACGGACTGTTCAAAATATCACCCTTTCTTACAGTCATTTTCCATGTATTCATTCTGTACGTTAAGATTTCCTTTTTACGACGTTTTTGGTGTATGGGTTTGATGCCATGTTTTTAGGGTGATGAAAGAGAAGAGGTGTACAAACAGTGTCCATTCCTGTGGTGAGTGAGACCAAAGGAGCCTCTCCATGGGCAGGGCTTGTCTTTCTAATTGAGTCTGCTGATGTTCCTCTCTGTGTGCCCGGTTGCCACTGTTAATTGACTATATTGTTTTAGATTTATGCATTACAAATACGATTTCTACTCCAAAAGCACCACTTTGTTACTTTGTAGCTTTTAAACTGAGGCCAGGAGCGTATTTTTCTTCTGGGATAAAGTCACATCTATGGATTTTTCAACTAATTACATGTCTGCCAATAAATACTTAGAGGATACACTTTATTTCAATTTATTTGTGTTTCCACAGTGGTCCCACATTGTCCATGGGGCTGGAGTGGTCTAATGGTGTTCACTGCAACTCTTTCATGGCTGTCTTTCTCTGCCTTCACCCCTCCCTCTTTTTAACAGCTCCCGTCAGTCCGGTCAAGCATGGTAAGGACTTGAACTCGGCAAACTTCCAAGATACGGAGGACATCCTTGACAGATGTGTCTTGGAAGAGTCTGAGAGTGCAGGTGAAAGCCATTTAAACATAGTCAAGTATAAAATGATAAATTTGACACAGCTTTGGGGTCCTTGGGAGGGTGTGGGGGAGGAGGCCAGAACAGTGCTTTCTCTTCCCAGCTGCTCTGTCAAATTAATGCCTACCTCCTGAGGTCATGGTGTGGAGCTGTTATCTTTTCCTCTTTCATCAAGAATTCAGTTGGACGAAGTACAAAGGCATTAAGGCCGAGAAGAGAAGCCTACACTGTTAGTTCATTATCATCAATTCTAAGCTAAACTGCTTAATACACACAGAGGCTGGAACTAGAGAAATGTTGACATTTCAAATATTTTGAATAATGAGATTTAACAAGAGACAGGCAGAAATGGGGAGATGGGGAGCACAGAGGAACAAATTTCCACCACTAGAGTCTGTTTACCTTTCTATGTTCAAACAGAACTCATACTGGGAGGAGAGTACTTTAGCAAGGCAGGAATGGGTGTTGTAAAACAAAGGGAAAGAAAACTGTAACTCTCCTCTTGCGGTAAGATTTACTAGATGTCAAAATTACTTATATTTATATTCTGTTTGTGGGTAGGATAGATAGAAGTATAACAGAGGGAGAAAGCCAGAAAGACTTAAGCATGGATTTTTGTTTCTGTTCTGTTTTAAAGCATACACAATTTTAATGGATTCATTAATTAAAAGAGAAAGAATTTTAACCAAAGTTAAATGGCATTAATTAAAAGAGAAAGAATTTTGACCAAAGTTAAATGGCATCGTTGGGTCAGTACAAGCCATGAATCCCTTATTACCACAACCCCAAAAACTAGCTAACCCCGATATTTCTTTCCTGTTTATCCAGCTACAATGTCTCCTCCACCCTCTCACATCCTTGTGTGCTGATCCATGTATCATATTTTTGATTCATCCTCTCTATAGGCTGTCAGCTTAGTTAAGAGATTTCCAAATTGTGTAGCCTTCCCTGACAGGGGGGCAGCTGCAAACAGTCCCCTGATCCTTCCCCGAGGAGAGCTACTGAGATTTAATTTCCAGTGAAACGTGTAGACTGCAATCTATGTCAGGTCCCCTAGTCATCTTGGAACCCCAAAAGACCCAGTGGTGATAGCATTGTATGTCAGCCCCCGCCACTGTACCAAGATCTCTCAAAAGATGAGCTACAGATGCATGCCTGTTCCCAGCCAAGCTTTCTCTTCATCATATAGCACAGAGATTGTTAAAGAACAAATTAGCCCCACTACCTGACACAGCATCTGAAAGAAAATGTGGTTATTCTCACCCAAAGAGGAAGAGCTTGCTAGTAGTGTTAAATTCCTATACTAAAAATTATTCTTAAATTACTTGTAGTTTGAATTAAAACTGCCTAATTCTGGATAGGTTTTTAAAGTTGTTAATGGGCTGTTTCCCATTACCATTGTTTTTAATAAAGATGCATCAGCATTATACATATATATAAAATATACGTATGTGGGTACATATATATATATATATATATATATATATATATATATATATATATATATATATATATATATATATATATATATATATATATATATATATATATATATATATATATATATATATATATATATATATATATATATATATATATATATATATATATATATATATATATATATATATATATATATATATATATATATATATATATATATATATATATAAAATTTCAGAGGTAGATTGCATTTCCATGCTTCCTTATTATGAGTGGACTTAGAGTGAAATTCAGTTATGGCTTTCTTTACCTGACAGTTGTGAACAAAAGGATATATTCAAAAAGAAAGATTAATTAGAAAATACAGGGGCTTGTAAAAACCGTAACTTAAAGAGTGAGCACTGTTCCATACATCGGACATCATTAAACTAGTAATAAAGAATGAATTACTCTGGCTTTTCCCTCTGTCCATCCCTGCATTTTAAGACATCTTGCCTTATAGGCCTGGAAACCTCTGGAGGGTTCTCCACTAGCCCCACTGCCTTCCACTGAGAATTTGTGGCTTGGTTGTCATGGAGACATCGTATTTCTCCAAGAATTGCTCATATTGATCCGTAGCTAGGCGTAAATGGCCAGGCGAGTGTGAGGAAGAAAGGGGGCTGGGCAGTCCTGTAAAATGACCAGGGCTTGTAGGTTGGAAAGGAGCTCACAGCAAACACTTAGGTAGAAAGAAAGAAGCAGTTTCATTTTGTGTCAGGATTTTTTCTGCACTTTAGGCCTCGTCTTCTCTCAGGATGAACTCAGAGGAACTTGTTAGTCCCTTGTCATGTCAGATCTTGGGTGCCTGGTCCTGACACAGCTGTCAGCCTCCTAGCTCTGTGCAGTTCAGGGACACACAACAAAGAAGCAGTGACATGAATTATTTATTGCTCTTCGTGTGGATAAAATTCTGTGATAAGAAATTAAGACACTTCTGACAGAGGTGCTTGTTTGGTAAGAAAGATTTTGATGAGAGAGTGAATTTCCTTGAAGTAGACGCTTTCGACAGCAAAATTCCTAGAACCGAACATAGAGCAAAGTAAGTTTTCCTTATATTTCTTATAGGAATTCAGTGGCACAGAGGGACTTTCTTGAGCTCTGAAAATGTTGCTATCCATTTTTCAATGTCCAAAGAGGAACTTCAGAATAAAGCGATGCACGTAACCCTAGGGATTTGCATGTCTCTTGACCGTGGGAGAAGGATCGTTCTCAGGGAGTTATCTTTTTTTTTTTTTTTAATTTTTATAAGCCAAATTTGGGAGGTTTGAAGTGGTGCTGTTTGAGAAGAAGCCTTTTAACTAGAAGCATTCCAGCAGCTACACTTACCATTGTGTGGCATTGGAAGGAATAGGTTGAAGTGTGAAAACATCTTTCTTCCTGATTTCTACTTAAACATCATCACACCATCCAAATTCCCTTGAATATTTTCATGTATGTGCAAAAATCCACCAGTTAGAAAGTTGAATGTGGTCTGTTTTCTAGTTTTAAGGAATGTTGACCTTATGTAGTTTAATGTAATGCATTAAACTAGTATGTTTATCGCCTCATTTTAAATGAATAGACCAAATATTTCAAAGTATATAGGAAATGAGAACAGAAATCATTTTCCCATACCAAGAATATTGCTTCCTCTATTGTTCTGTCTAAACAATGTCTCTTGATAACTCTTCTAAGTTAACACTTTATTCTAGTTATCCTGGCTCCACAGTACTAATATCAACCCTTGTTCATAGGCAGAAAGTAGAGGGCACGGAAGCCAGAGAAGCTGAAATATATTTTTGAAAAGAATCAAAGTTGCTATTTTGTATGTTACTAGTTTTTAAATGCCATTAATAAAATAAAGATCTTACAATCTGCATAAAATAGTAGAGTTGACCTTGTGGATTGTCTGTGAAGACAGTAGGTTATATTCAGGTTTGCCAGCACTGAGCTGGCCAGGGAGAACCATCTGTAAATGGACCCGTTTGCAAATAGGTCATAGTTCAGAGGCCTTGTGGAGTGTGTTCACATGTTCTCTGGAGGGATATACCTTACCCATCCCGCTGCTGAGATCTTTATTGTTCAAGCCATATACCTAGGTGAGAGCCTGGAATCCATTAAGGTTGGCGAAGCACCTGTGAAAAGCAGACCACTCCTGCCACTTCAACCTCGCTGGTGAACCTGGAGGTTGGGTCTGTAGGGGACAGTATCTCTTCCACATGTCTTTTCTTTGGAATAATTCATTAGCAAAGAGTTTTTGACTCACAGGTGAATCCCAAATAGGAGCTTCTGTTTCAGACTCTGTAATGTCTACCTGCTTCTCTGCTTCTTTCTGAACCCCATGGGGTCACTTCAATGTGCAGTAATAGATGCTCTGAGACGGCAGGAACTCGCAGCTCCCTCCCTGTGATTTTAGGGTCATTCAGCTTCCTCTCCTTGACTCTCTAAGGTCTGACTCCTTCTGAATTTGAAAGCTGCTTTCACAAAAATCAGTCCAAGGAGACTTTCACTCGTCTGGTTAACTATTTCCTGTACATCCGTTACATCCCAGTCCTTATTCTGCAGATTCTGTTTTAGAAAGGATTCCTTGTTCCTCCTATTCACACTCATGACCACAAAAACTACACAGTGATGTTCACAAGTTTTATGCCAATGTTAGTGAGAGAACTTGGCTTGGAAAATTAAGACTTTCACTTCCCTAATGTCTTGGGATCAGTGTACTCAAACATAATCAGGGGAGGTAGTCAGTAAAGTGCATGCAATGGCAGGATGAGGACCCACGCTCTAGCCTCAATACCTACATTAAAAACAAAAATCAGGTGTGGCGTTATGCACCTTTAATCCCAGTACTGGGGAGGTGGAGACAGAGGTGGGTGTTCTCTAGCCCTTTCTGGCCAGCCAGCCTAGCCAAATTAGTGAGCTCTGGGTTCAGTGAGAGATGTGGTCTTAAATACTAACACAGAGGGTGATAGAAGACACCAACTATTGAATTTGGCTTCCACACGCACACAGACATGCACGCATGTGAACATTAATGCACATACACACTTGCACACATGGTCATGCACACACATACACACACAAATGCACATACATACACGCACACACATTCTCAAAAGTAACACCAGCTGAAAACAGCAGTAAGAGGAGTCTGGATGTCCCTGTGAGGACAAAAGTGCAGTCACATCAGTTTTCACATCAGTTCTGAAGTAGTTTATAATCAGGATGCATTCTGCCATTAGTAGAACATTTTAGTGGTTTCTGTGTAGCACGTTATGCGTGTAGATCTATATACATCACTGTCAATCAATACTACATTTGCATAAATCTGATGAACAAAAGTAGAATTCTCATGGAGTTTCTAGAGTATGATACATTGTGAAAAGTCAAGGTGAGATGGTTTTTACTGTTCTATCTCATGAATCACCAGCAAAAACCAGGGTCGGGAAGCAGTACAACTTGAGAAGCTGAGTACTGGAGAGGCATGATGGTGCATGAAGCAGAAAGATGCAGACCGCCTGTGCCAGGCATCAGTCACATCCTCATGAACACATGCTATAGACGGGGCTGCAAAAGTTCTAGAAGGAAGAAAAATGTCAATAATAAATTATAAGTTCTTTTTTGTTTATCAATGTCAACATTTTTATTAATTTGCCCAAAGGGAAAATGTAAACATCAGAGTAGTATTTCTAATAAAATGATAGGCTGATTTGCACAAGCACACACACATTTACTGTAGAGTGTTACTTTAAATGAAAGAACCAGCTTTTTTATTTTTCCATCAACAGTGGGCGTTACGTCATAATATAAAAAGAGTTCATGCTAAACTGGGCATGGTGGCACATGCCTTTAATCCCAGCACTCAGGAGGCAGAGGCAGGTGGATCTCTATGAGTTCAAGGCCAGCCTGGTCTACATAGTGAGTTCCAGAACAGCTGGGGCTACAGGGACATCCTGTCTCAAAAAAAAAAAAAAAAAGAGTTCATGCTATCACAAAGCTTTTGACAGTCAACTCAGTTCAAATCATGTTGGTTTTTTCCTTTCATTAACCTACAAAGCTAGTCATCCAAGTTGCCTGAAAAATAAATATTTTGAATCTGTCACTTAACCCATACTTCAACAAATATTTGTGAAGCATGGCCCTGAAACTGTGGTCGTAAGTTGCTCTGAGAACATTTACACTGTTTACAATGCTTATTTCAAACCAAATTCATCTTTTTTGGAAACTTGGTTGTTTTGGCAATTAAAAAGCACTACTGATACTATGTAAAATTAAAATGTATGTACTTTCTTTATGAAACAGGGATATTGGCTGTTCTCTAACATATTGTGCTTCTGGGTTGGAAGGGAATACAGAAATCACAAGCCACACCTCCCTTCCTTCTTTCCTTTTGCGTTTCCCATCCCCCCAGATCTCTCCCATTCCTTTCCTTCCTCCGTGTCTGTATTTCATCATATAACCCAGATACCTGCTTTCTTTCTAGGTCATCCAAGGCATCATTCCTGGATAGCAAAAGTATGTTCCTGCAAGATGTGCTAAATGGAGTCTTGAAAAAGAAATAGAACCTGAAATAGCAGGGAAGGACAGACATGCCATTTCTCTATCATCAAATTAAAGTAGCACTGCTGTCAGTCTGTAATAGGTCTGCTAATACTTTAGCCAAAATGTGCTAAAAATGTTATGCCTGATTGAAAATCTAAATTCTAATTCTAGAAAATGATTGTTTGAGACAGTCTCTATTTTTCCGTGTTTTCTGTTAATATTCCCAACAGGGAACACCAGCTCACAGACAGATTTAACATGCATTTAGATTTTATCTCTTCAGCTGTTGAATTATGTAAGTCAATGGAACCCACACTACATTAAATTCAATGGTGCGTCCATATTTTTAACCCAAAACTTTACCAACTTTGACTTGCTAGGTTGAGAAATTTTGTTTTAGTGGGTGGTTCCGTTCCAACCAATCCTTGAAATACATCCTACCCTTTAACATAAAATGTTGTCAACAAATAACCCATGTCCTTTAGTCCTTAGTCCAAGCAAGACACATAGGGTGACAGTGACTGACCTTGTGCAGACCAGTTAACTTGGAGCTCTAGTAACATGGTAGGCAATGTCTTTAGCTAAAAGTTCATCTTACTGGGCCTGTAGACGTGAAGGAGGGAAGGGGAATTTACATATAACACATCACAATTCATTCTTGTTCAGTATAAACGCTTGCATTTCATTTCCCAGAAAGAAGCTGGGTGAGCAGGAATTCTAAAACTAAAATATGCAAAGCAATATAAACAGAAACTAACTGGCATAAAGTGCTCACGTTGAGGCATTTAGCAGTCTATTTTCTGGGATTTTTATTGACTGCTTCCTTAATTTGTGGAAAATCATCAAAGATTATTAATGTATTATTTAAATGAATAGAAACATGGTCTAGTCCATAGAAAAATGTGAATAAATATTAAATATATGGTATATATCTCTCTTTGCCATCTAATAAAAATATTCACAGTATTTTGATTCAACAAACACTTCCCCCCATGGCGAGTATGAAGGGAAGGAGAGATAAGAGAAATGTACCATTTGCATGCTCTCAAGCCTGCAGGACTCACAACCAATTGTTGACCTGAATAAAGATACCAGAATATGAACATATAACAGGCTGTTGGTACCTTTAAAGCAGAGGAAAATGTGTGTTCTTTGTTTCCTAAATTATCATGCTCTTGCAGGAAATTAATTTTGATTTGTACTTAATAAATTGTATGTTGATAGCAAAAATAATCACAGAAACTTTTATCCTTTGAACACTGACTTTGTGTTTTTACCCCCTTCAAGAGCTGCTTACAGCAACTTTCAAAATAAAGCAGGTTAATAAGTTAGACAGTAGGATAGATTCAGGCCATCACACAAGGGCTCAAAAACATTTTTGATAATGGGAATATCAAATAAGTACATGCCTTTTCAAAGGGGATATTTTAATAGTTAAACCGCATGTATGTGTTAAATTCTGGTGTGTTCATTTAAAATTATTTTATTATTTTTTAGAAAGGTCCTACTATCCCTATTTCACAGGAGAGTAAGGGTGGGTTTTAATACTTGCTGTACTTAGCATATTTTCACATCTAAGAAAACCAGTGCTGAATCCTTGATAAATATTTCACGGTGTCAGCAGAGTAGGAAATCAGAAGTGATATGACCCTGACTTTCCTGAACAAGAGTTTCAAGATCCTATACAATACAAGTTAAAGTTACTAAAAACTCACTTTAGATGACTTCTCATAGTCTGTTTTTATCAATTTCTAGAAGTCAGCATTACTATTAAAAAAATAAACACAAATCCTAAAACTGAGAGTTTTAAAGTGAGAATCCAATCATGCTACACTTTCAAGTCCTATTTGGGATACAAATCCCCTGAACTGTTTGACAATTTCTTTAATTTTGCAAGTTGACACACAACTGATTAGAATGACCACATGGTGTTCCCAAACACTTGGTACCATACCTCGCTAGTTAAAACTGCCTTCTTGATTTGGTCAGGATGCCTGTAGGTCTGTACCTTTGTGAGCACTGGAGTAACTGTGTACTATAATGCTTGTGTCTGGAGTCCTACTGATAGCAAACATTTCATTATAAATAATCTTGCATTTCTTTCTGATAATCGTTTTGGTCATATTATGAATATGTACACCTAAGTATAAAAAGTTCATTTAGGGGAAGTCAGGTCTCCCTGTGCCACTGTAGTTCTCCAGTTCTGTGGAGCTGTTCAGGGACTTCTTTGCTGTTCCTTGCAGAGGAAGGACTCCAGAAAACACCCAGAGTTGAGAGAGAGGCTCTCCTTAGTGTGTCCTGGCTGCAGGGTTGCTCAGAGCTTTTTCCTCTGCTGTTTGCTGTTGCCCAACTTCCTCACAGTGCTTACCCAAAGGTACTCAATGACATTGTTCATAGACAACAGTACAAGCTCTGAAAAGCACTTCAAATAAACTCAAAAGAGCGGTATTATAAACACACAACCAGCGCCTCAGGCTGCAAGTAATCCCTTTCTGTCTTAGAAACAAAGTTAAAACTTCCTGGAACATGTCAGGGTTAGAACAGGCAGAGAAACATTGTGCTAACCCTTTCATTCTATCCTTGGCTACTGCTGTTTCACTGATGGTTATCACTTTTCTTGTACATCTTTCTCCAATATTCTGCAATTTTAAAATCCTAAAATATTCATATCAAAATTTTAGAAAATGTGCCACTTTTCCCCAGTCTTTCAAAGGCACATTATAATAATTGACTTTTAAAAAATTAATGCATGCGTCATCTGTTTAAACTGGAATCTTAGAATACTTTAATTCCAATTAATTTCAAAGTCTTAGTTTTACTGAATGGACTATTGTAATTTTCAAATTGTATATTGCATAAAGTTTGATGGCTCAGTTATTTAAAAGCACTGTTAAACCCTTATATTCCCCACAAAATGTAATCTAGTATATAGCCAATGTACCCAAAGTTATCTTTAATCTCATAAGAAAGTCTCCCCTTTGCAAACATCTGTGTAATACTCAGCATTTGAAAAGGATTTTCAAAATTACCCATAATCAAACAAACTAGTTAAACTGTCTTGAGACGATGTCTTCCACACAAAGCTAAAAAGACTCCCATGCAGTGGCTCTTGCCTGGGTCACTTGGTCAATAAGGGTCCTGGAGAAGGTACATGAAAGAGAAGAATAAATAGAAATGAAGGAATCTCCCATTGGGGGCCTGCTACTAGAAACTCCTTTCTGATGTTGAACCCCTGGATATTAACAGGTGTCAAGTCATCTCGTGAAAGAGTAGGGATCAGGGTGGACCTGCCCTGCCACACAACTTCTTAACCCTCTTCACCCTCCTTCCAACCTTTGCAGATCGCATCTTTAAATTTATGATGTCATAGACCTTTTATAGTAATGAAATTTTTATAAATATTTCAATAAAATGTTTGTCTTGACTGATCAGTTTTCTACTATTTCCTAGACATAGACCCTGTTTGTTCAGTCTTAATAAATTCACCTTTACCCCCAAAAGTGTTTGTGTATAAATGGACTATGATTGCATTGTTTCAAGACTGAGTATGATGATAGAAAAAACAAGGAATAGGCATCTTCATACAATACAAAACTAAAGCCATTGACCACTGAAAATGCTTCAGTTGCTTGTTGTGGTAAATGAAGCATTCTGAACATCTTGGGCCCTTCCTTCTGGCAATTTCTCCAAATATTTTTTTATCTGGAACCACAGGGTGTTTTACTATCATCAGTTGCATAGTCCTTTTTGACTCTAATATTCTAATAATTGAAAAGGCAGTGGAGATTTTTATTCAAGGTTATAAGATGTCTAACAGCAAATACAGCCAGTCCATATTTAGCACACACTCTGCCTGAGTCTGCAAAGTGCCAAATACCAGCAACCTGCCGATATTCACAACATTATGTAAAAACAATAATTAGTTGGCACAAGCTTCCAAAACCCATCATTTATTCACTTTGCAATCATTTTAATTGCAATTATATGCACAGTCATCAATTGGCTTTTCGATCCTGTGGGTTCTCCAGAGAAGGTGTTTACACGATGTCATTATGACATCAACAATACCACAGACTCTGGATTTTTGACATGATTCTGCAGGATCTGTTAATTCTGCAGGGTCCACTGCATTTCCTCTCTTACCTGTTACCAAAACCATGTTTGTACCTCCACTATCTCCAAGTAGAGATAATCATCCGATCAGTTATCAGCCACCAAGGAAGTTTTGTTTCATTCTTTTCTTTTATATTTTAGAGTCCGACAAGGGGCTGGGGGAATACAGACAAGTAAGATTAAGAGATTCTTCCTTTCCCTGAGAAGGAGCCCTGGGGATGAAGTTGCCCTTGGGTTATTTTGTGGTGAGGAAGATTTCCTGAGATCAGCCCTGATTTCTAATAACCAGTGTATGTATTTCCACCAATCTAAGCAAAACCATTTAGTCTGATTTCTGCAAGAATTCAAGACAGAATAGGAGGCGAAAGCAAACCTTCCAGTGTCCTTGTGACATTCAAGTAGAGAAATCAATGTGGGGTTTCTAGAACACTTTCCAGACAGCTGTTCGTAGTCTTCCCGCCATGTAGGTGGCAGCAACACCCAAGGCTAGAAATGTTCTGCCTCATTCCCATAGCTTTCACCCGGGGAAACACACTCGAACAAAAACTGCTTATGGAAGAGAAAGGGTTTAAAGCACAGAGACAAATTTCTCTCTGTCCTCACCTATCTCTCAAGCACTATTTTAAGGTTGTGCTTAAAACCGTTCCCAAAATGTGAAGACATCCGTCATTTCCCACAATACAGAAGTCATACACTGCTCCCTTCTCACAGGAGCATTCGTTTCTGTTTCTTTTATTTACTAGTGTCTGATTTTTTTTTTTTAACCTTCTCAGACTAGAGCCTTTTTCTCTGAAGGGAAAGGAAGCAAATCCTGTTAATCAGCAACCACCTAAGCTTTGGAGAAGATAGTGCAAAGCTGTCTCCTCCCTCTTTGTAAATATCTCTAAGAAAACAGCCTTAAGTGAATATGGAGAAATCTTACCTTGGTCCTGGTCCCCTGCTGTCCTGATCATCCTAACCGGAAGTGACTGACTCATTTCAGTTCTCTGTGCAAATCCAGTGAAACCCAGATCCACAGAGAAGCCCCGGGGGGTTAAAGGGAAGGCCGAAGC